GCCTTTGACGTCTCCAGGTCGGACTTCATCGTCTGCACTGACGTGGCCATGGTATCCAGATCGGCGCAGACGGCATCCAGCGACAGCTTCACCTCTCGGAAGGCCTTTAGGAAGTTCTCATTGATGCCCACGGATCGATGCTCAATCTGGCTGCGCAGATTCCTTCGATTCTGCAGTGTGTTCTCCTTGAAGAAGCTGGAGAGACCGTTAAGAGCATCGAGAGTGTCCTGGAAATGGGCAAAATTCGCAAATTTAAGGGCTGCCAGCACTGCCGGATAAACCCACCTTATCGGATTCCAGGCGGGTTTCCAGTATCTTGTTGACCCGTCTCTGTATGCGGTCCTGATCCTCATTTTTATCCTGTGTCACGCTCATATTTCAATAATTATTTACTTTTCCATTTATTTTTGTTGACGAGTTCAATTGAAGAGCAGCTATCGATTAATTATACCGAAATATATACCGTAAACATACCGTAAATAGTAAATCAGGGCCGCATTGAAAAATACCAAAAACTAGCTACTTCAGCCCTGGTCCGCGAAGGAAAACTAATAAATTAACGCGCTTTTAACTGAAATTGCCAAGATAAAACCATAAAACCAGGCAGAAGCAGTCTCCACAAGTCCGCAATCATGGCTGCGCTGGCCAGCTTGACCGCACAATACACGGATTCCGAGAACGAAGGCGATGCCAGTCCAGACTCCCAAAACTCAACAGCGTCCCAGGTGAGCTGTCAAACATTTCGCTTGATTTTCCCCGGATTGAAATAAAGCAACTTTTTGTTTTGCACTGCCACCAGGTTATTATACCCAAGCGTCCATCGCCCACACCCACACCCACGCCAGTCAAGGAGGAGTCTAGGCCCAAAAAGTCCAAGAAGAAGATGAAGCGCGCCAAGAAGGTTCGGCGTCTGGTGAGCTACCAGGACGACACGCTGATATCCGACGAGGAGGAGGACCGTGCCCAAGAGTTCAGTGAGGAGGAGTCCAGCAGCGACAGTGATAACTCTGCGGGCGACAGCGACGGTGCGAAGGCCACGAGCAGCGCCAAGGGCGAGGGTGAAGCCGAGGGAGCACCCATGGAGGTGGACGACGACCCGAATGTCTATCAGCCGGATGAGCGCACGGCGGAGAGCTACGAGAAGGACCCAAAGTATGCCAAATACAAATTCCAGCTACCGCCAGAGCCCAAGGGCAAGCCATCGCCGGAGCTGGTGTCAAAAATAACAAAAATGTACTCGAAAATGCGTCAGACCAACATGGACATGAATCGGGTGATCCAGGACCGCAAGGAATTCCGCAATCCCAGCATCTACGACAAGCTGATTAGCTTCTGCGACATCAATGAGTTTGGCACCAATTATCCGCCGGAGATTTACGATCCGCTGCGGTGGGGCGAGGAGTCCTACTACGAGGCGCTGTCCGCGGTGCAGAAAACGGAGATGGTCAAGCGGCAGAAGGATCGCAAGGAGGTGGACAAGGTGGAACAGGCTACTGCGCTGGCTCGCAAGGTGGAGGAGGAGGCCAAGAAGCGGTGGGTTATAAAATGTGGCAGAAATGTTAAACTTATTTCAACTTTTTCCTAACTTGCAGCAAATCCAAGTGGGATCAACCGGCCTCATCGTCCAATGTTAAGCAAACGCTGCCTGCCCTGACCACCACAGTGACTGGCACAAAGGGCACGGTCATATCTGCATTCGGCTCGCTACCCAAGAAACCAGCGGCTTAGATTTTGTTTTTAGCTTCTCCTATTAATTTTGTTGCGTCTAAAAAGAATATAAATGTAAGAATGATGCTTTAAAAGCGAGTGAAAGTGTCGAAGTAGTATTTTCCGGGGTTAAATTTGAGTTCACACTCAAAATATCCACTCGAAATCCACTTGGTGGGCTGGATCGTTCATAACCAGGAACTAGTAGTTTGTGGTTCGGGTACTCCGTGGTTCCCAGGGTAACCATTTACGGTGCATTATACATAATGGTACAATCCATGCAGAAACAAGTCAATCTGGGTTGGAGATCCATCTCAACGCAATTTTGGAGGTTAAAACATTTCAGTCTAAAATGCTTAAGAGCAGCTTAAGAGCAGGAAAACAGAATTGTAATGTAAAAAAACATACCATACTAACACTTGAAGAGCAACAAGTTGCCAAATAACGCAACATTCCTACTCACGTAACGTTTTATGATATTCTTGTTGGTTGACCTTTTTAGTTTGATGATTATTTCTTAAACAATCCAATAAAAAAAGTCATGAAATGTAGCCAATCCAGTGGAGAATTGCTTCATAAATCCGATAAAATAAAAGTTATGGTGCTGAGAGCACTAACTAGATAGTAATATTAAATAGAAAAGCAAAATCGAGGAATATGGTTTATGATTTACGGTATATTTTATAAAGGAGAAGGTATATGTCGGAATATTTTTGACGGAAGTGCAGTATATTTGATCGATAAATCCGCGGTCACACTGGTGGTTCCGTGTGTCGCGCAAATTGAACTCGTTTTTTCGCTTTAAAAATAATAAATAATAATTAAAGTAAATATAAGTCGGTGTTTTAGTTAAATGTGCATGGTACATATGCAGCTATTCGACGCAAGCGTTATGTTTTGACACGCGGTGTACATTCCCCCTACCCATATTCTGCATTTCTCGCCTTTCCCCACACAACACAGACGCAAGCAAAGAAAAGAGGAGCATTTTTGTGAGCGAGATAACATGAAATTTGTATAAAAAAGATAAAAGATGATGAAGATATCGTACAGTGCGTGTGTTTGTGAGTGTTTTCGGTGCGCTGAAACTTTTGTTTAAACAATCTTGGCCGTGTTTTTGCCTTAAGGTGCATCCGTGTGCTGTGTGTGGGGAGGGGAGGGAAGGAGAAGCTGTTGTATTCCCCTTTTTAGCTGTGCGATCCACTTTTTTTTGCGCCAGTTGCGGCTGTCTGATGCGTAGCAAGGTGTATGAATATATGGGGTGGGGTAGTCTCGATCAATGAAGCAATATTCAGCCATTATGGGATCGCTATTTGAGCATGCCTCACCTTATTGCTGGTAGCATTCTTGGTGCCGACAGTGCTGCCCCCTCCCCTGTGCGCTCTTATTTATAAACCGACAGCAGCAGCGGCAGACATTTACTGTTCAATTGAAGCTAATTAATCGCTACAGATTCCCTAAGCACATTCTTTGGAAATATGCATAATTTGTAGCCGCAAATAAGCTGCAACGTGGATGGGCAGCAAAGGCAGAGGCAGAGACAGCTCTTTGTTCCCGCAAAAGCAACAATTGTAAATGACGCTTGTTCTCTCTTCTTCTCTCGCTCTCTCACGGGCTCATCCGCTGGTCACGACAACACTCGCGCTTACCCACTCACACCTTTGGAACCGGCCACTTGTTGGTGGTGTGTGTGTGTGTTGCTATCCCCCTTCCCCGGCAAACAACAACCGAAATCTATTCATTGCGTGAGGTGTGTCTATAGGCAGGGGGAAGGGGATCGAATAAAGGGGAGAGCTGGGACGCGCGCATCAGGTGTTAATGTTTAAGTGTTAAACAATATCCATGCATACATACAACGGTAACATACATACTCATGTCTATGTATTATTTGTTCAAAGAAAGGTAAACAAAAAAGCAAACACGAAAACGAACGGAATACGCGGACGCGTGTGTGTTTCTGTGCGGCGCCACTTAATATAGCCAAAAAATATACAAACTGACAACTAAGGAAATAGCAAAAACAACAACTAAACAACTATAACAACGAAAGAAACAAGGGCATCGAGTGATTCAACGGCAAACTACATAAACCATGTCGGATTCGTATTATCAGGTGAGTGAGTGTCTATTACTTTTACAGTTACTACTTTTTATCGGGCCCTAGTTGCGGGTAGTCCCACTAGCCATCCTTGTCCCTCTCCCACGTCATGCTCCAGTGGCGTCAGCTGTGAAAGAAAATACTCGATGCTCGATTCTAAACTAACTGTTAACGCTCTCCCCGCTCTGCTCCCCGTTGAGCGTTATGGGCACCTGTTGCGTTATGTCAAGCACTTCCGCTTGAGCAGTCCTTAGCAGGAGTAAATAGCCAATAAAATAAAACACTCCAACTAATGACATCACTTTCGTTAGTCGGCCAGCGGTCACTTAGCTCGCGTGCACAAATCGCGTTTCGCATTTTCACATTTAAATCTTTTGCCGGAGAGAGAGAAAGAGAGAGAGTGAGTGAGAATGCCCTGCCAATTGGCTTGAGTGCGTGACCCGCTCTGCACACAAACAGAATGAATAAGAGAGCAGAAGAAGAGAGCAAAACAAGAGAGTCGAAGGCATAGATACCCTAGCATGGCGGAGATTATTTCTACGCTTGAGAAATGTTTTCTTTTTGTAATAAGTAGCTACCATCCGCATGTAGCATTCCCCATCTGCATGTTGAGTGTAATCTTTAGGGGACCGCAATTTAGAATGCAATTATTATTGGGGTTACAATTAGCTTTGGTCCAGCGGCGCAAACCAGTAATCAGTTGATGGCCCTCCTAATTGCTGGGTATTCTTGCAGCAAAATAACTGTGCGCTTTATAAATAGATCACTTTTCTGCCTGCTCGACGATGTTGTTTTGCGGTTCAGACAGGAGAGGCTATTAAATATACGCACTGTACTGGGGTGGGGGAAAAGCTGCCTGCAGTCACGCCTTATCGCCGCATTTGCTTATCGCTTTCGCAGTCGCCGTTGCTGCTGTGGATGCCGTTTTATCGGGAAGAAACAGCCGCCCCATCACGTAGTGAAAAGAATGGCCATTCACACACACACAGATTCCATGACTCAACTGGAGAGCAAAGCAAAATCATTCAGTATTCCAACCATTAAGTTCATTCGTGAGCCATTCAATAAAATACAAATGTTCAATGGAATTGGTGCGGGATGGTTGATGGAGACGGAGGAGCAGTAGGTCGTTGGGTGGGTGGGTTATGGGGGTTATGTCATTGGCTTTGAAGGTGGAAAACATTACAGCTTGCTGTGCGTGCCACTGGCCCCGTTTTCGGGCTCTATTTGGCCTTTGATTTTGGGTGTTTGCTTGGTCTCCCTTGCCTCGACCAACACACAATCAAAATGGAAATTGAAGCAAAACCAGATTGAATTCCACTACCCCCTCCCATCTTCCCATTCGATTGTCATTCCAATGAAACAGGAGAAACAGGAGAGCCGCTCGCCTGCATACTTTTGCCATTTGTGGAGCTGCACCTGAGTTGTCCGTGGCTTTAGTTGGAGTCGGGTCTCAGTCTCTGTCTGCCTGCAGGTTCTCGGTTCTTTCATGCACGGAACCGGTTTCGGATCGGTTTCGGCTTTGAGCCATCTTTAAGTTGTTGTTGATTGTTTTTCTTGTGTTGTTATTTTGTTGCGGCTTGGCAGAACAGGGTCAGGCCAGGTTTGAATGGAAAATTGCAGCAAGATAGATCTAGGAAGAAGGCTACATAATGATGGGACAATGGGGGGTTCTATTTTGATCTCTGAATCCATGCAGGGAACTTGAGGAACTTCCTTTTGTACTTTCTTTGTTTTTTAAGTTTAATTTGTGTTTGGCTCTCTGGCAATGTTAATTTGTTTAACAAATTTGCAATAAGCAAAAAGCCTGGACAAACACTTGATCCATTCAGCTTGGATCTGGCGGTAGTTGGGGTAGCCACCGCTGCTGCTGTTGACTCTGCTTGAGGAATGTTAGACAAACATTCAGCGGCTGCCTTGCTTTTTGCCTCATCAAGTGTCACGTGTCGCTTGCCTTACCCTGGCTGCTCTTTTCTGTGTGTGTGTGTGTGTGCCCACATCTTGGCCACTGACAGGCTGTCAGCACAAACAAAGGGCCCACACAGCCCTTTGGAGAGGAGGAGCAGCAGCAGAACCAGAGAGAGGAGCAGTCACAGAGTGGCTGCAAGCTGATGTTGTCTTTCGTCTGCCTTCTCTGTTTGCCTTTGGCACAGAGACGGCATCCAGCAAGTGGCTGAAGCGAAGATAATTTAGTTGGAGTTGTCTTCCCCCTTCCAAGTATATCAATTAAAGATTCATTTTGCACTTCACTCAACAGCTCTCAGTCACAGACAAATAGATCTGGTCGTATGTATTTCAGTAGTTCCCCTTTTGCTGTTGTTTCAAAATAGAAATGCTCTCAAAAAATCGCATCTCTGAGGCTGAGATGAACACCAGAAATTCTTTAAATTAAATTGTAAACATTTGCCATTTCCTTGGCTCTACTTTACACTCTCTCCCCACCGCCTGCATGCATTTTGCCCCCACGCGATTCTTGCTCTTTGTTTTTGTGGCTTTTTGTTTTCCTGCAACTTGGAGATGCATTTCATTAAATTCAATTTGTATCTATTAAGTGTGTGCTGCCTCCCTGATGCTCCTCCTCCATCTCTCTTCCTGTTTCTCTTTCTGTTCTTTCTGTTCGTATTCAGATGGCGACTGCTGATAAGCTATCAGCGGACTTGTGCACTGGGAATCGTGATACGTTTATGGAGATTTTTGCGCAGCACAAACAAATAAGTTGTACGGTGACTGACACCTTGTTAAGGTTTGTGCTCATTTAACATTGAACATAGCATACGTGAACATAGCAGAACAAATAAATGAGAATGAAACTAAGGACTCTCCCCAGGTTTTACCTGTTGCTACAATGCCATCATCGAACTACTCCAATGCCCCCATATCGATCCGTGGACGAGCCAGGCAGCGCGCGGGCAGTGGCAAAAGTCAGGCGCAATAATTTGCACAATTGAACCCATCAATTGCAGCAATTAAATGTGCCCCAGAGAGACAAGTGTGGGCTGTG